ACTGGACTTGTTTTTATTGACTACAAGAAGGCGTTTGACCTGATTGACCATAACCTACTATTGTCAAAACTGAAGGCTCTTGGAGTGGGTGAGAGCAGTCTACCCCTGTTCCGTGACTATCTGAGTGGCAGACGCCAGTATGTGAATATAGACGGACACCATTCTACCCAAAGGGCCTTAACATTGGGAGTCCTACAAGGCAGCATATTAGGTCCAATCTTGTTCCTTGTTTTTATTAATGATCTACTTGCAACATTTCAGCACTCCGTGGCTGATATTTATGCTGACGACACAACTATTAGCTACTCCACCCATTCTACGACGACTCCTAATGATATCTCGGTCGGCCTTCAGACGGATATTGATGAAATCTTGAATTGGTCAGCTGACAACAGAATGATCCTTAATGAAACCAAAACCAAATCTATGCTTGTCACTGGTAAACGGTTAGCCAAGAAAATGGAACAGTCCACCCTGCAGTTAAACGTTAATTCTACTGAACTTGAACAAGTGAACTCGCATAAACTATTAGGTGTCACGATTGACAGCCAGCTTACTTTCGACCAACATGTCGAAAATCTATGCACGAAGTTATCGCAGAGAATTGCCGTGCTGCGAAAAATAAGACGCTTTTTGCCCATTGATCAAAGGAAACTTTATTATAATGCTATGATCAAGCAGACAATGCTTTATGCATCAACCATATGGACATCTTGTTCTGCTGAGAATTTGCAGAAAGTCTTTAAACTTCAGAAACGCGCGGCACGTGTAATTCTCGGAGCTGACACTAAAGCGAATAGCGTACAACTGTTTAGAAAATTGGATTGGGTTCCATTCTTTCATGAGGCAAAAGTGAATAGGTCACTAATGGAGTACAAACAATTGTCTGGGGACTGTCCACCTTATATGTCCCAAATGCTCGTAAGAAATGCAGACATAAATGAAAGATCAAGCAGACATGGACAACTAAACCTCGTCTGTCCCCGATTCAAACGGGAGTCAGAGGGAGGTAGGTCTTTCTCAGTATCGACCTCACGCCTCTGGAATACCTTACCGCTGGACATAAGAATGAAACCTACTATCTCGTCATCAAACACAATAAACACTATGTGAACTGCCTCCCCTCTGAATCGATGTTCGTGGACCACTAGTATCTGATTAATAACAAAGATAGGCTGGGCGACAAGACCAACCAAAAAATCAGTTGTTGCTAAACAATGATACAAGAAACTGGAAGGTATATGAAGAGAAGATTCCTTGTTGAGGGTAACAGTGATAAGAGAACTTGCAAGAGTCATTGCAGTGGAGAGGAGAATGTTGACTGCTGAGAATAGAATTGCCCATCCAAGTTGTTGAAGCCCACCCAAAGAGGGCGAGCATAACAGTTCTGTGTTCCACCCCTAACGAAATTTGTTGTCGACATAATTCTTTATGTGTTTAGTTTTCATTGTAGCTCTTTACTCAAATTAACACCAACATTCAATTCCCTTGGCAAACAGAAATATATCGGCCACCTATATTTTTGTTTGACGATATGATAAGGAAATGTTTTTTGTCAGTGTTTGGGTGACATAATAGGCCGTATATTCAGCTACCTCTCACTCCTTTGGGCCGAGAATTTAGCGGTAAAAAACTTGCCCATACATTGTGGTGAACTATGAATTTCAATAAAGCTTTCTAAAAACGACACTTAGAAAATTTGGAACAGTTAATTGCTCAGAAGTGGTAGACAATTAAAACAAGTAGAAGACAATTAAAACAAGTTGAAAACAATTAAGACAAGTTGAAGACAATTAAAACAAGTTGAAGACAATTAAAACATGCACCAGCGTCAAACTGGATATATTAAATATATTCAGGAGTCGACAAAATTTTCCATGCAACATCGTTTTTTCCTTTAAACATACGCTTATTAATATTTAAAGTCTTTTGTCACTTGCATATGTCAACTGAGTTTACCAAAGGGCAGGAAAAAATTTATCTCCACCAGTTGTTACAGAGTTTTCTTTCAGATCAGTCCATTTTTTTGGGAATTATATGTAAAATATTTTTAACTTTTAAAATGGTTGTTCTGTCAAAACGCGATTTTCCCCTAAAACTTGTCAGGTGCTTCAGGTATGAAATGGCAATAATAGGCAAATACAGACACATCTGTGGTATCGTTATTTTAAAGGGCGGAAATAATTACTCTTTACCCAAATGAATTCTCATTGATAGTGTAAGCAGCATACTGTAAGCAGCATCATTTCGATATGTTGGCGCTTTAGGGCCAATAATTAAATGGGTGTATTCCCCTGTGTTATAAAAAGCCTTCGAAAAAAAAAAGTGAAAGTAAGGTATAGTTCATCACGCGGAAATGGTTAACATGAATTAATAGCACTTGGAGACATCATAAGAAAACTGTAGCGATGTACTAAGTATGCTGATACCATTTTGTGATTAAAATCTTTAATTCTTTTTCGTCAGATGTCACTTTTTATTATTTTTGAACTCTTTCATTTTCAACCATTATTTTTGAAGAGATGCGGGACATCTTACAGTACAAGGGAAATTAATCCCTAAAAAATACGAGCTTATCCCACAAAATTTTCGTCAAATCCTCCTTTGATAGGTTAGTATAGCGACTTCAGCTTTATAACTAAACAAGATCATATTTGTTCTAGCCAGTTGTTGATTCCAGGAGATAAGTTTGATTTAAATTCCGATCAGCACTAAAGTTAAACCTTGGCAAACACAAAGACATCGGCTATATTTTTGTTTGACGATTTGATAATTGAAGGAAAATCTCTTTTGTCAGTTTTTGTGTGACAGAATAAGCAGTATGTTTAGATATACTGTCATTCTTTTGGGCCGATAATTAAGTGGAATCATTATCCGTATATCGTGGTAAATTCTGAATGCCAAAAAGAACTTTGTAAAAGGAATTTAAAGAAAAAGATGAAGTTAAAGTTAGGATTAGTTAATCGCTTGGAGGTGATAGGATCAAAAGACTTAAATACGACTTAAACATACACCAGCATTAAAATAGATATAAAGCGATCGTATCCTTTATTTTAAATATTTTCTCAAGTTGACAATATTTTCATTTGATATCATTTTTCCCCTTTAACATGAAATTTCAAAAAAAAGAAAAAACTTTCGATAAGAAAAAAAACTTGGTCAATTTTATTCCACTTCTTTTGGTAAACTCAGTTAACATATTCAGGTGACAAAACATCTTCAAATGAATATTTACATACATAATAGACAAATAAGCAAAGACATTTGAGATTATAGCTAAACCAGCTTGTTTAGTAAAGTAAAATCGCCACCTTGAATTTTTTATTTCCAGTATAGCATTGCTGAAAATGATTCAAGTCTCAACCACACACCGATGATGTGGACACTTCATTAGCACCCTACCAATGAAATTTAAAGTTGCTCCAGGTGAAGAGGGATTGTTGGTCGCCCTTTCAAATTACGACTATCACATGCACAAATGTCTCCCTATTTGCTTTTTAATGTTAATTCATACGTGAGGCATCTGACACTGAGTGTGGGTGAAAAAGTCGCTTTTTTGACACATTGGACAATGTTCTGACCCATTTTAAATGAGGAAAATGTGATTAGGCAGCCTATATGTGAATATATGTAAAGATAACCTACAAGAAATAGGAAATGAATAGAGAATAGTGTCGATAGCGAATTCCACCATGGATGGAACACAGACAAAAGCATTTAAAGACCTGGAATGCTCCCCCTCTTTGATGGGTGGGCTACGACAAGAATCAGAATCTTTCGCAGTAGTTAACACTCTGCTCACCATTACAGCATGTCTCAGCAATATTGTTATCCTTGTTGCCCTTCACAAAGAATCTTCCCTTCATCCGCCGTCTAAACTCTTGTATCGTTGTCTGGCAACAACTGATCTGTTGATTGGTCTTGTTGCCCAACCTCTATATGTTACTTATTGGATATCCGTGGTTCACGAACAACGGAGTCTTTGTCGATACGCATCTGTCACAGCCTCTATAACAAGCATAACATTATGTATGGTTTCTTTGCAGACGGTGGTGGCCATAAGCGTGGACAGACTTCTCGCCCTGTTGTTAGGGCTTAGATACAGACAAATTGTAACTTTAAAGAGCACATATATCACTGTAGCTTTGTGAAAGAAAGCCTTTGATGTTGACACTGTATTGCCAGACGAGACGGTCCAGTTTCGTGGCCTCAATCTCAATCACGCGAGCACAAACGAAAAATTCTGCAATGAAAACATTTCCTTTATTGTTTTAAGTCAGGACAAGAAACTCCAAAGTCCATGAGAAAGGCTTTTTTTTCTCATTTCTGTTTCCTTTAAAGGCCCATTTCCAACCAAGATGCCTTGCGCGCCCGGATCATTTTGCATATCTGAAAAATACGCTATTTTCCTCGTAGTTGCGGAATCGCTTTGATATCTTCTTCCATCTTACTAATTAGGGCTTTCAAAGTTCCATCTTGAATCATGTGCGAGCAACAAACTATCGTAGTATCCATATCAGTAAATAGTTTTTAATTCTTACATGTATGACGGTGAAAAACGTCACTTGAAAAGTTGATGCCGCCAAAGAAGCGGTCTAGAGGAAGGCCGAGTCTGCCCGGCTCGGCAAAGGTTATTCGACTTCGAGAGTCTGTGTATGATTTATGGAGGGCAAGAAAAACAACCATGGGTTTCGGTAACACTACAGACAGTGCTTTTGCAGAAATGTTATTGCACTGTTCCTACGATGGAACTAAAGACTCCGGGGAGAATTTTTGGAGGTACGAATAATTATTTGACTGATTTTTACTTGAGATCCTGAGATATGTATGTAAGCGATCTCATTTGTACAAGTCATTATTCTATAATTGAAATGCGTAAAGTAAATCAGTTTTGGCCAATATTGGTTATTTGTTTACATTTTATTTAGTGTTGAAGCCGAACAATTTCCTTCAACATCAAGTAAGCTTTGTACAAGTTTTATACACAGACTCGATTCATTTTTCAGTCAAATATTTAGCTGCAAATTTGTTTATTGTGTTCTTCACCAAATCTTTGTTTTTCTTTTTAATAGTGTTTGTGAATGACTATCAGAGTTCGCCATTTAACAATAGCGCGATTCCAAAACAAAAACAAACGACTGCAAAGGATCTCGGATGGAAATGGGCTTTTAAGTTTTTGCAACAAAGCGACGTGAGGGCAGCAGGGCCATACTACGGCTTTTTCGGACCGGCTCACGTCAACCCGTCCAGCCCTGCACACGTCAGCCATTTTCTATGGGATTGCGCGAGCGGAACCTAACGGATCATATGGTAATATCAAATATTGATAGAGCCGATGTCTTTCTGTCTGACAAGTGATTTACCTGAATTGCTAATTTGAGTAGAACTTAACGTTGTACTTACTACGATATGTAGCTAATTGCCGCCCACATTTAATTGTCTAGTAGTTCAGCAGCAGTCTCTATTCTGCTATAATCAAGGAGAATTTGTAGACTGAGTTCGATGAAAACATCGGCCTTTTCCGTGGATTTAAGGGGGGAACTATCCATGATACTTCTCCTTGTTTGTTATATTTGATCCTTTTAATGGGTTTTTAATACTAAAACTACGTCTTAACAAATAGCGGTACAGGGGAGTCATTTTGTTTGGAGTTGAGTGCTGTTTGCTGCTGACTTTAGCTCGCCGTCATTACGAAGCGCGGTCGTGGTTCTTCAGTCGCCCTCGCCTTCAAAATTGTCAAAAACAGCGATAGTTATCCACACAAAGCAGGAGATTAGTTCTGTAAGATACTTTTTCAGCGAGTCTGAAGACTGGTTGGATTTTTAAGTGTTATTAGCGTGAAGTTATACAGGTAATTATTGTGTTGTGAAAATATTCACACTCACTTTGCGCCGACGTGCGGTGCCTTTTCATTTTGGAAATCATTCGCTTGGATGAGAACTTTACCTTGATAGATTGATTTTTCGCCATTACACTCAAAATATGAAAACATTTGTTTATTTCATATATCTCGTGAAGAGAATAACAAGCTCATATAATGGTGATGTTTACAAAGGAAGTGGAAATCGAAGAAATTGTGAATTGTTTGCTGCGCCAAGGCTCGAAAAAGATTACATACGCGATTGATTGAGGGTGCTGAAAATATGCAATATTTGAGTGTCCAACATGATCAGTTCATTTGCAATTTATCTTAAATTAAGTCTTTATTGATAGCAATTGATTGTAGATCTCTATTACATGTCTTTAGTACGTTTGCTTGTACCCGTTGGTACAACTGCTACTTTAATTTCCCAAACAGCTCTATTTGTTTTACACGAAAGCATTTTCAATGAAACCCACTTTATCATTATTATTATTATTATTTATAACTCAGTGATTTGAAACTTTTACAAGCACATTTTTAACAAACGACTGACTTCATAAATACTTATGATAATTTCCCTCTAACATTTCTAAGTTGGAAGATTAATCATCATAATCATTACGTTATTTACACCTCCATAAACACCCAACAAGAGTTCTTCGTTCAGTATAACTCAGGCAGCTTCTGAATATAAGAAATCAAGTTTAGAAGATAGTTGATTCATTCAAGGCTGTTTTAATATGAGGAAAGACAATACAATGCTTTATTCACATAATTCGATTAAATTATATTATAATAATTATTTAACCTTTATGTTTTCTCCCAACTAGCCGTTAATATAATGTGGTATTGCCGTCTCAAAATCGCAATTAGTTTATAATAACTTGAAATTTACAAGAAATTTCCCAGAGAATGTCGTCTAAACATGAACGAGGAGAGAATCTTTGAATAGCCCAAGTTGAGCCCTTTTTGAGAACTTTTTTCACAGCCATATTTGGATTATTCTCGAGGAAACGCAGCAGTCAAAGATAAATATCAAGGACGCATGCGGTGGAACTTTCTGAGAAAACAAATCTAAGAAGGAACTGGATGGTACATAAATGTCTCTGTGGTGCCTCAGTTGTAAACTCTTGGCTTGATGTCATTTGTTAGATAAGTAACCATTATGTCAACAATCTACCAGATTCGATTTGCTTTGTTGCCGTTTTGAAATGTTCAATTAATGAATGAATGAATTGCCAGTTATCAGATCCTCGTGTTTTCGTCAGGGGGCAAACATTGTAAGTTACTACCAGAAAGATTATGACGAACGGTAGTTTGGACGTCCAAGACGATTTTGAATAGGCACGATCAATATTTTGCCGCCGTTTTTTTCAGGAATGGATTTAGCCAATGTTTTATACGAAGAAAATGTAAATTTTTGTTTGCGTCCATTTACGCAACACACCTCGCATATTTTTGTGTACTCTAACTTTAGATGCCAATATCCAGAAAACCAATCAGAATATCGAAAACGCCTGACACACTTTTGTTGATTGATGCCTTGTGGATAAGACTGCGTAGACATTTTGCTTGTGCTGCGGTAACCTATATCCAATAACTTCAATAGAAGAACCCACGATGCAATCGACTCGCGCCTTACTGACTCTTGACATTTCCTAAAAGGAAAACTCACTTTAATTAGACTTTTATCGTAACTTGCATTTATCAAGCTTTATTCTAGTGTATAGTTTGCTGGGATTCAAAGAGAGTAGCGCCCGAACGAATTTTTTCTGAAGGACACCCGCGAAGGTTGAGAGTAACCTGAAGTCTTGGATAGGATATACCTTCGACCGCAGAAAGTCGTTGGTTGCGTGACAAGCATACTGATCCCATAATCATTTTTAAATTGGACAACTTTGACATTGATGCGTCCTTCTTTTTTAATAAACATATATATTGCTGATTTCCAAACACATAAAATATTGGAAGGTTATTGAACGATCACTGGATCCCTTGGTAAACTAGTTCTCCCAGTTTCTCCGTCTACATGATCAACATTCAACCATCCTTTACCAAGCTGGCAATATCATTCAGCGGTCGAGAGTGTTTGTTATATAACGAGTTACAATGTGGCCAGGGCAAAGAGATTGCCGGAATATACTATGCACTCCGAGGCCAGATATGACAGTGGACAGCAAGAGATTACATATCAAGTGTAAGCAGAAAACCTGGGATAAACTATTTCGTATTATTTTCAAATTATTTCCAATTGCATGCAGCTGATTAACGTTTCGCTTTAAATATTTATTTATCGTTTTTTTATCAACGTCAGTTTTTCTTTGGATCGGTGGCTTTAGCATTACGTTGTAAAATAATAATAGCAGAACTTAGTGCAAATCCGACTCATTCCAGGATTGAACTTAACCAGTTGGATAAACATGAAATTGTGACACAGAACATTTTTAGATGATAAACAACCTGCCTAACTAATTGACGACAATCTTGATGATGATAATAATAATAATTTTAATAATAATAATAATAATGATGATGATGATGATGACGATACTAATTAATACAGATAATAATGATAATTACAATAGTAAACGAAAACGTATGGTAACGTTCAATTTTACTTTCACGTTTACCTCATTATCTTTTAATATCTATTCACCTTCCACCAATTTTAATCATCTACGAGACGACCTAACTTCTCAGTCATTAACAGCTCTGCTTTCTTTCATTCTGACAACATTCCATAAAATTCTTTCGATTGTTCTAACATAACCTTCCATTTATAAGGGTTATCAAATTTTTAATTAGTATGTGTAATCAAATGGCGACGAGTGAAATTAGGAAGTAATTTCACTTGCGTTTTGTCAAAATTCTGATAATTTCCCGAGCTTTTAGGCGAGGGAAATTATCAGAATTTTGACAAAACGCAAGTGAAACTATTTCCCA